GGCAAAGAGACAGAGGAGGAAGTGAGAGCAAAGTTTTGGGTAGGAATGGAGCTGCGTGGTACCTGAAGGCTAATGCCATTAAGTTGTGAACTTGCCGGAAGTGGTGAAAGAGTAAACCGATTAAAGGATTCTGAAGACACCCGTTAGCTGGTCTCTTCAGCATGCCAGGATAGTATTAGCTGCAGTCATTTTGTGGGGAATGGATTTAGGTGAAACACGGTGCATATACATGTGCCTGTATGGCAACATTGCTACTGCACTGTGCTTTAGTATTTCCAAAAGGGCTTTAGTATTTTCCAAAAGGAAATACTAAAGCACAATACAGTAGCAGCCCATACCATACCATACACCAGGTGCGCCAATATTTCTAGCCACCTCTTTGCCGTAGCAGCGCATTATAACAAGGGAGCATGCTGCTACAGCAAAGTAGCTGCTGGGCACATGTAGACACACATGGTTGCTATGTCGCCATAGCGCATCACTACAGTAATGTAGCGTCATATGTAGACATGCCCACAGAACTATACAGGATGTTGAGCTAAAGTGGTAAGGCATGCACAAGATTTATTTTTTTACAGTAGAAAAAGTGAGGAAAGAATAGATTTTAGGAATGTGGGACTGGCAATAAGAGAGAAAGCTTATGTATGAGGGGAAAAGTGAGACGAGGTTCATGTGTGTGATAGGGAGGTGTAATGGGATGGTTTGATATTTGAACCTGTGTAGTGATGCAGGGCTCTTCTGTTGACTCACTCTGTTAGCGGAATTTAGAGCTGCTGAGCTAATTCAACTGATTCACTGTAGCAAGACTGTTTTGTTAAAAAAGAGGAGGGATAAGACCCTCTGGTCAGAGGAAAGCAAGGGCAAAGAGGGAGATCCTGCACAGAGCCTTAGAAAAAGCCAAGATTTTGGGGGAGAAAGCTCCGTCTGAATTTATGTTCTATAATTATTACCTAAGATAGTGAAAAAGCTAAGCTGGAGGAATGTGTAGCATGTATAGTCTTTATTTGGAGCAAAGTGGAAGTGTCACTTGCTCAAAGGGTAGTTCTGCACTGCAGACTGCAGAGTAATATAGCCCATGCTGAGCTCTGCATTGCTGTGGTTATACAGATCCTAGTACCTGAGCTAGATCATTTAAGCAAAGGGATCAAACAGCTGGCCCGTGGAACTGTGTCACCTGGTTTGCAGGGTTCCTCGGAGGGACGACACATCCAGGGGTGGGCTAAGCGAGGGTGGGGCCCACCACCAGATTCTAGGTATTGAATCTGGAGCCCTGTTGGGGTTTTCTTCAGTGGCAACGGGACAGGCAATGGTGCATTAACTCTCACAGCTCCCTGACACTGCTCACCCTTGTGCAACACCTGAAGGTGAATCCTTGCCCAGAAAGTCAAAGGTGTTTGACACCCCTGATTTAATGCCTACTGTTTAAAGTCTACAGGATACTGTAGTTTTCAGTGCAGACTCTTAGTCTCACCGTGCCTCAATTCCCCTTCCTGTGAAACTTAACTATACTTTACTGTCTCACCTGGGTTGTATGCAGATAAATTAAAGAATGTGTGTCAGGTGCCCAGACATTATTGAGCAGCATCAAAAAAAATTAAGTAAAGGCAGGAGGGACATGAGGGGGGATTTCTGTGAGAGAGAAAGTTTATAGAGAGGGAAAAAGCAGCTTAGTAAATGAAGAAATAAAAAGGGAAGAGCATTAAAGGAATATAAAAACAAAAAACACCACAGTCCTCCATATTTCCTCTAAAAAATAAAATGAACAAAAAGTAAGAAGCAGATGTGATGTCAACAGCATCTCTCTGCTTTCCTTTATGAACATTCGTCCTTCTGTGGGGATCCATCTCTTTCAGCCAAACTAAGCTGCACTAGCAACTCCTGGGAACAGTGTTACAAAAGGGATCAAAGGATTGGTTTTCAAGTTAAACCAGACGCTGGAAAGGTGTGTCCAGCAGCACCAACTCTGTATCCTGACTTTTAATGCTGGATAATGTGTTAGGCAAGCTTTCCCATTGGAATTACACTTTGCAAACTAATTCACTCTTACAGGTTCATTAAATTATGTGATTGCCTATCAAAAATATACAACAAATCCAACCAGCTAGTGGTTCACTAGTTGTATGACTGTCAAGGGCAAAAATAGAAACAGATGTTTTATTGGGCCCTGCCACTGACACTTCACCACATCAGAAATGACAGCTGACAATTTGTTTTCATATTGGTTAGCTTACAGGTGCATGAGTATTGGTGGGTGAGAAGAGTCCAGCTGTTCTCTTCCTGAAACACATTTCCTATTTTGGGGCTTTGCTTTAGGTTTCAAATGCCCTTAGTACTTTGTGAAACACCAGTCTGCTTTCCTGGAGCCTGTAGGTATTTTAACTTCTCTCTCCTTGCATTTTGGACACTGGTTGTTCTTCTCCATGTCCCTGCAGGGGACACCATGTTGTAAGGTAAGATGAAGCTATAACCCAGTTTCTAGTCTCTTGGGTGCGGTGGCTCAGCTGCAGATAGTAATGTTGCTTTGGGCTTTGGTTTTTCTACCCTTTCTGCTGCTCTTGTAAATTTTGCAGCGTAGGATGTAAAGAACAATAATACATGGTCTCACATGCCATCTCTCACCCCATTGTGCTTGTCTATAAGAAAAGCCCCTTTTAAAAGCAATTTGTTTGTATGTCTTCTGCTGCAGGCTCAGTCTTTAATTATTTTACATTTTTCTGTTTCTTTGAACCTGTAGGAGTCTAGATAAAAACATATAGTGCTGCAGTGCACCTAATTCTCAGAACAAGCAAAGTAAGGGTCAAAGAAAAAGGAAAAAAACATGCAATCATGGGGTTTTGATTCATTCACTTTACTTCAAGGTGACCCTAAAAGACTCCAGTATTCATGTGTCTATGGGACAGAGACACAGAATCCTCTGGGCTGAGCATGTAACAGCCAGTAACTGTGGACATTTAGATGAAAGCACGTGGTAAGAACTATTAGGCCCATATTGGCTCAGGAAAGGGCACTCCGGCTTCACTCCCACACACTTCTTCTTTCAAAATGGGAGCTAAGATAATATACAGGAAAGGGCAGAGCGGGAAATACAGTATTTTTCTTCTTGTGACCCCTTCACTGTTCTCCCAGTCTCAGATTCTTCTCTCCTAATCTAACTTTTACTATAGCATTTCCTAACTACAAACCCCATATTCAATCAATCCATAATCTGACTCCATTTTACCCTGCACTGGACTCATTACCCTACTGTCTCAAAATCTTCCCAAGGCTTTTCAGGTTCCTCCAGTAGAAACCTGCCCCCCCCCCCCCCCCC